AAAAAAAAAAAAAAAAAAATATATATAAAAATAGTTAATAATAGTTCTGATCTACACTACAATTGTGTCAATGTTAGAATCCACATAAATGTTAATTCAATAAAATGTAAAAAAAAAAAAATCGTACTTTTTACAGCAGATTTGTTATTATTAGAGTTAAAAACTGGTCCTTTGCTTCTTAAAAAAATGCAATGGATCTCTCTTTTTTAACCTTTTACCACACCTTAAAAGCAAGCTTCAGTAAAAGGATAATCAAATAAAAAAAGGTAATTACTTCTTGATCAGACATCCAAATGTTTAATCCACTGTTATAAAAAATAGACTAGGGATAATTTCCTAAAACCTTTATACAAACACATGCTTAATACCCTAGATAGGATTTTTTTCAATGAAAAAGTCACCAAACTGATGACTACTTATAAGGCATTTTAGAAATCCTGATAAAGCTAAACATAATGCTGTACAATACAATTTTAAAAACTTACAATGAAAGAAAAACATTATTTAAAAAACGAAACCAGAACACTATTTAACAAACATTTTACAAAGATAGCAAATCCAATTGTGAGGTAACCCTTTTTAACAAAACAATAACATACATTTCAGCCGTTTCACCTCATTTTAAACAAAGCTTGTTTAAAAAGTTAAACAAATTACAGTTTTTAATTTAAATTAAAATTCATAGTTTATCCTCAATTCCTTCGTCGAGGCATTGATGTCCCTCTGGTTCCTTTGGTAATTTTCTATTTCACAAACAAAAAGCAGAACACATGCATTAGATCACAATGTTGCTGAAATAATCAATGGCAGTGGGCAGCTTACTTGAGATCAATGTGGTCCTGGAGTTCAACGTTAAGAGTTTCTGGTAGCAGCAAACAGAAACAGCCAGCAGCCATGGGGATGAGGCCATAAACCACCATGGGAATGCTGTAATGGTAGGATTCCAAGAGCCTGACCAGTGGTGAGAGGATGCCGGCCACACGAGCACACATGGAGTTCACACCCATGCCGCTATGCCTGTAAGGTAACAGATCAGGTAATGAACATACAGACTTTAGCTCTATAGATAATGTAAGAAAATTTGTTAAATACTTTTTTTTTGTGGGAATTGAAGAGTTTGGAACATATATCTGAGGATGGAAGTTTCTTTTTTTGGTTCAGACTGACTTTAAATGTTTAACCTAAGCCAACAACGCTGTCATGCGGGGGCTACAGATAATATCCAATAAAGATTTATGATAAGAGTGTTACGTGGAAAATATTTAATTCAGTTCAAAACTGATTTATTTTTCTTTTGTTCATTTCAATAAGGTCTTTCATTGTTTACTTTATTTTAAAATCACATTGTGGCTGCAATAATTATTTATTTTCCAATTTGCCTTTCTGCATTCATGTTTTTACTTTCCCCGACTGGGAATTGAGGGTATCAGACAAAATAACGTGTGGCTCCAACACAAAGAACAACTCAACCCTTACCATGGCCTTTACTTCCGCCCAGATGCAAAATATTAATTAAAAAGGCCCCTTATGGAGGTAGACCAGGTGCTGGGGGTGTGGGGTGGTCCCTGCTGTGATTTAAAAATGTGGATCTGACAGATAAATTCACATATCAGGATGTCAGACGGCTGATAACAAAGGGCATGCTTGTCAGACAGATATAGCTGTCTGTTTGTGCTGCTTGTATGCCAATCTGGTAATAGGTGATTTGAAAGAACCATGGATTGGTCAAATGTCATGGAGGATTTCACTCCACAGACCAAACTGTGGGAGGTAGGAGAGGAAGGCTCTATAGAGAAGGCCAGTTGCCTGGAGCTGAGCCAGTGTGAGCCGGTGGCTCTTTAAATTCTTGAGGCATCCAAACACAAAATGGGGACAATTTCAGAGTTGTAGTGTTTAGATCATAAACTTGGTATGGAGGTAAGCATAAAAAAACTCTGCTTTTAATATCCAATAGGACAGTGCTACCCAAGTCAATATTTATGGGTGACTTTGCAAAAACAGGGAAATACTGACTCATGATTAGATGCAGTGCACCTATTTAAACCAGAGGAGTGCACCAAACGGCCAGTTTTACAAACAAATGCAGGATCACAACAGGTGTGCAGTAAATCCACCCCCACCCCCAAAAAATAAAACAAACAAAAAAACTGGAGCATGTAAACAGCACCACAAGTTATATCTGTGTACAGTTTATTAGAAAAAAAAAGCAGACAAAAAAAATAATTTTTGTTTTGAGGTGAGCATTTCTGTAATTCACCTCCAACAACAACAGGACACAAAGTTCAAAAGTTAATGAATTCTTAAAGCAAATGTAATTTTTTTTTTCATTTTGTTTTAAGCAGCATTACCTGATATTAGTCGGGTATAATTCAGCTGTATAGACATAGGCTGTACTGAAGGCAGCTGTAGCAGCAAACTTTCCCACCATAGCAATGACTGTCACCACCGCAGGTAGGTCTGATGTTCATAAAATTGTGAGCAGATAAAATAAAGTTTAATTCTGAGAAATTCTGAGATGAAAAAAAAAATTAAAACAGTTTAGATCACTATCAGAAAAACAAAAACAACTGAATAAATGTATGGGTTACTTCTTGGCACAGCAGTGGCAACCAAGCATGATGCTCCTCCAAAAAACAGGAAACCTGCTTCACACATTTTCCTCCCGTAGCGCTGAATCAAAGTCAAACCAGTCAGGTTGGCAGGAATTTCAACAAACCCAAAGATGAGCTGTGTGAGGTAGATATTTAAGCCGAAACTCCCGATATTTAAACTCAGCCCATAAAACAGGAAGCTTGCAGCAAACCTGAAATCAGATGCATCTTATTATGTGCTGTAATGTTTCAGTACATACATCTTTTAAAAATTAAATGATTCTTTGTGTAATAAACCATACCAGTTAAAGCTCATTATTAAAGTGCGTTTTCTCAAATATGAGATTCGGAAAATATCAAGCATGTTCTTTCTGTCCACAGTAGTCTCCATGTCAACCTGAAAATGATAAACAGAGCTAAGGTAAAGTTTCATAAAATTACAAATTTAAGGTTTTCCTCCTAAGCAGCTTTCATCCTGCACTGCTATTTTTTTTTTAATCTAAATAAGTAAATTTTTCTTGCAATAAGAGCATTTTTTCTTGAATTGAGGAGGTAAGTGAGACACTTTGCCAATGGAACAAGACAATTTTCATTTAAAATAAGCAAAAACAATTACGTTTTCTCATTTTAAGTGAATATTATCTAATTATCTTATTTTAAGAGTAAAAATACTTATTCCACTGGCAAATTATCTTATTTACCTGCTCAAATTAATGGTTACACTTAATTTAAGACATTTGTGCTCATTTCTAGATCGTTTTTGCTATGTGAGTGATCCCATTTGATCTGATTGCTATACTTTGAACTCAGAATGACTTGAAGTTCACGCAAAAAGAAAATACTTTCCTGTTAGACACACACTCCAATCGGGTGCCATTTGTAAAGTCAAGCAATCAAAAATTAGGAGCAATATTTATGGTTATTTAGTTTGTTTTAAGAGAAAAATAAGTAATTTTTCACTATGTAGTTCATTAATTTATAAAAATATTACTTTGGTAAATAAATATTTAGTTTGCAAATTAAATATTTAGTTTGTTAAAGAAATATTTAGCTCCAAACTTAATATTTTGATGGTTTTCCTGTATTTAAAGGTTAAAAGTTACATTCAAATATGGTAAGAGTTACAAATAAAATTCTGTTGATTTCTTCCCCCTGGTCCTTATTTTACAGGGTTATCGCAAATATCTAATTTACTGATATAAAAGTTATATTGTGATAGGTTTTTCAGCCATATCTCAGCTCTGTGTAGATCTGCTGATCAACCAGGAGAGAATTTTAAATAGATGGATGGATGAAAGCTAGTTCAACTTGTAACCATGTAGTAAAATTTTTTATTTCAGGTCTGAAAACAACTTTTGAGGGTATTTTTTAGGTGTATTTGTGGACAGAGACCTTATCTAGTAGATCATCTGGTACAGTTCTTTTGTTAACTTTGGCTGCCTTCTTGAGCTCCTTTAGAGCCTCCTCCTTCCTGCCCTGTGTCATCAGCCATCGAAAGGATTCTGGGAGAAACCTGTTGAAGCAAAAAGTGCATTTTAACTAAATAAAGAGGTATTAGTTGAAAAGTTATTTTTTTTCAGCTACTGACCAGAACAAGATCACCAGGATTATAATAAGAGGGCTAAAGAGTGCAAGTTGCAGGATTCTCCAGTTATTTGTTAAATAGGCAATACCGGACAAAAGCGTCTGTCCGAGTGAAAAGAAAGCAATGATGGACACTGTGCAAAGAGCAGACTTTGAAGGATCAGTCCATTCCACCGCTAAAAACCAGATCAGGAGACAGGTCAGTTATTGTCATTAGTGTGCAATATCAAGAATGTTTTTATGGCTTTATACATAAAACTAAACAAACTGCAGACTTACCCATGATAGATGTGTTCATTACAATGACACCACTTGAACTACCGCATATAAATTTAAAAACTATATAAACGTAGATGTTTGGTGAAAAAGCCGTCATCAAAGTGAACAACAGTAGGATGAAAACTGAAAGCAGGATTACGCATCTTCTGCCAAACCTAAAGAGAGGAAAAACAGAACCTCATTAGAGTCTAAAATTATAAGCAACACATAAGGTGCACTTTCAATCCTTAATACTTAAAATCTGTATCTGCATCCATTTAAAGAAATTGTTTTTGGAAATTTTAATGTTTTACACAATGGTATAACAACACAACAATAGGCCCGTATGCAACATTATCTGGGTGGGCCCCATATGAAGTATAACACCCCATAACTCATTTTGGTATAAATCGTCGCTAACACATTGTACGTAACGTTATGGTTCTAATCTATGCTCTGGATTACCCATAATTCCAAGTCGTAGTGTAAAAAATAAAATACTCCAATACATCGTTCTTTTGAGATCTTTATTGCGGTTTGTAACATATTGTTTGAGTGTATTTTTTTCCAACGGTCTAATGAACTATACACAGTTATTAACATAGTAATTAAAAGTACCACTGTCTGCTTTGCTATTGGTGCTGTGTTAAATTGGCTCTCCATAATGTTGAAATCTGGCATGTCTTGGGGTAAGTCGTCTTAATATCAGATGAGTTTTATGAGGAGTTTTTCACACCATTATTTCTGCAATGAGACGTCCTAGTTCACAATTGTGAAGGGGGCCTAACAGGTGTCAGTGACTGGCCCCTAAGTAAGTGCAGTCTCTGCTTACCGAAACTGACACCATTGGTTTTACATGTTCCCAACTGCATGCATGGAGCAGTGGGTAACACTCTTGCCTTGCAGTGAGAAGATCTGGGTTTGAATCCACTTTCTGCATGTAGTTTGCATGTTCTTCCTGAGCGTGTGTGGGTTCTCTCCGGGTACTCTGGCTTCCTCCCACAGTCCAAAAACATGACTGTTGGGTTAATTGGTTTCTCTAAATTCTCCTTAAGTGTGAATGGTTGTTTGTCTCTGTGATGGACTGGCAACCTGTCCAGGGTGTACCTCGCATGATGATGATTTTGTAGATAAGTTTTGATTTAGGATGGCAGTTCTGCTTATATCCACCTGTCAGAGTAGCCATTTGCTGCACCCTCCAGGACCAACTACCAAGGTTGAAAGTAGACATATTTAGACACAAATGCTTCCACTGTTCACAATAATTTACTGCCAGAAGATAATATACACATATACTCTTCACACTGCATATCCCATGGTGCACCACAACAGGTACTAGTGTTATGGTTCTCCCCTTCTGGAACTCTTTTTGAGTTTTCTTTTTGAGTTTTCTATAACTTATGTCATTCTGATTTGTTGTTCATTAGTTTCTTTTCCATTTTGTGTTATATTTAAGCAGTGTTGCACTGTTTGAGTTACTCTCTGTTGCCCCCTTGTGTCAGTCTCCTTTTCCCTAGCTCCCTTCTTGTTACTTGTATCCACACCTGCTCCCTATCAGCTGATTAGTTTCTTGTCATTTCGTTACTCCTCATGTGTGTTTTCCCTGACCTCTCCTGTTTTTTGTCTTTCTGTATTTTGTATTTGTACTTGCTTCTGTGGCCTTGGACCTTCATTAAATCAGCAAAACTCATCTCTGCATTTGGGTCTTTAACCAACCTCCACCTTACCTTGACAACTAGAGGCATAAGACATTGGTAGATAGAAACCTCTCTAGTCAGAGGCCAAGGATGAACAAAATCACATTAGTTGTGTTCTCAAGTGTATGTTTTCCTGATGAATACCCAGTGCATTTTAATGCCCTGCTAGCTTGAAAAAAAATAAACACAATAAATAAATAAATCATTTTCAATTTAATAATAAAGTTTTATTTCTTTATAAAAAGCCTTTTCCTATCCAAACAACTTCCTTAACGCAGTCATTTTACAGTACGGTTGAATAATAGAGAGTGGTGATCAAGCATATTAGGAATTATATGGACTAGTTTAAAATGATCGGAAAATAATACATTTAATTCAATATTAGACAATCAACAAGTTTAAAGGTTTGTGAATTAGTATTCTCATGATTTAGTATGCCATTTTGGACTGAGGATATTTTAAGATAAAGTATTTTCCAGATTTGGCTAAGTCTTGGAAAAAAAAAAGGTTTCTTTCTATCCCTTTCTCCAGGGTTGGTGTTTGTTTTCTTTTGTCTTTTTCTCAGAATACACCTATAACCTCACATTTTCTGCAACAAAATTACAAGTTTTTGTATTTATGCTTTAAAATTGACGAAAAGAGAGTATGAAAGAAACCTGAAAAATTGAATCAGGAAAAAACGAAACATATCTTCCCAGAATTCTGGCACTTAGGTCAAACTCTTTGATCAGAAGGTCCCCTCGAGGGTCTTTAGTCATAATTCACTACAGGAGGTAAAATATTCACTGCTAACAATAAATCAGATCTGAGAGTTTCTGTACATTCTTAGAAACTCAGATTTTCTTTTTAATTTTTACCATCTTTTATAAAGTTCTACATTTTACTGACACAAGATATCTACTTTGTTCAGTTTTATTTTTTTTTATTGAAGTTTGAAATTGGAAACATCACAATGCTGAAGTTGGCATCTGATGTGGCTGTAATGGAACAGATCAGCTCCATTCCACATCTTAAAGCTTTACATAGAATTTTCAAACCCAGGAATGGGAATTAGTTTTATTTACCTATTTCTTTGCATATCAACCACATTTGCTTTCAAAACAACAAAACGAAGTTGAAACTTGAAATATGGAAAATAGTGAAACGTGATTTTTACATGAATGTATTCTCACTACCACTCAAAATAGTGCATAGCCAAAAATTGCAGGTCAAATAAAGCAGAGATTTAAATATAAATTAAATAACAAACACATTATTTTTGTTACATTTTTGAAAATAAAGATTTCATATTCTTGATTTAAGTATGGTATCTAGTCTGCAAACTTGAGAATTTTTCTTATATTTTCTTACAACTACCGGTACATTTATTTATCAAACTGAGAATGGCAAAAAACAAAATTCCACTTCTTCCCAAATATCCCAAAAAACCACAACCGATTCATGGCTCAATACAAATCATATCATTGGTGAAAAATAACAAAGATACATACATTTGTAACAAGACCAACATCTGATAAGTGACTGATGTTAATGCCAAGAGTTCTTTAGAAAAAAGCAATGTACAAGAAAATGTATTACCTGTCAGAAATTGCACCAAACACCAAACATCCAACAAGAATACCTGCCATGAAGATTGACTGGGATGCTTCTATTAACCCACTTTTGCCACAGACTAGGTCAAACTGTAAACATGGGCAATTGTTACAACAACAAGATATAGATGCAGCGAGGATTTTAGAGGGAGACTGGTATAACAAAAATGAATGTTTGCTTACTTCTGTCACAAGGGTGGAAACTCCATGTGGAGCCTCATAGTCCCAACCACTGATGCATCCAGTTGTGCTGTTAAGGCCATACTCTTCAATCGTTTCCAGATCCAGATCCACAGGAGTGAACATTTCACACCTTTCAAACAGTCCATCCTGGTCTACAGGGATGGTGAGATTTTTTTGTCTCTCCTCTGTTAGGTTTGGCCCTTTCTCCAAGATCCAGTCAGTGTTACAGTGATGCGGATAGCTCATTCCAGTGAACACCTGGCTGGTCACGTCGAATGCCGGGAATATGCTGGGTATGCATAACGCAACGAGTAAGCTTTTCTGAAACAAACCAAACTCCCCGACATCCTTCAGGACCTGTCCAAAGCTGCTCATCTTGGCATGTGGTTCTGTTTACACAGGCTTCTCATAGATGTACAGAGCAAAGACATGTTTAATGTTTAACAAAACTCAATAAAGATAGTCATGGTAACTGCCTTGATCTCTTAGTAGGGAGCAACAGTTATTCTAACTGCAATAAACTGTTACAGTGTCTAATCATTGAAGTGGGAAATGACTAATATTGATCCAAAAGAAAGAAACAGTTATAATAATAATAATAAGAGAAAAACAACTGAATTAATAAGATAAAAATGCATTAATTATTTCATTTTCATTTTATAAATGTAAAGTATAAATTAAACATTTCTGCATGGTTAAAAAAGATCTCTTTAATTGGTTTTATTATAGACTTATTTGGAAGGGCAGCTGATAGGATTTTGCAGCCTTAGAGTTCAGTCATTAGACATTTAATGTTAATTAGTATTTCTTACCCCTCATATTCCGGTGGGGGAGTGTTTGCCTCAATCTTTCAGCAGGTTCTTTCTAGTTCTGCCTTGTGACCTTGGTATTTTTCCAGTTTCCTGTGTTCTTTCCTCATGTATCCATTCTTTTGGTAAAGCCTTGTGGGTATATATATATATCTATAAATCTATAACCTTATCTATATCTATGTAAATATCTAGTTTTGAGGGCTTGAATCAAAATGCTGTTAGTCAGAAAAAAAATCTAAACTGAATTTAAAATACATTTAAGATACAAATTATATTGATTTAAGGCTCTGATCTATGACACCTGGCCTTTAAACATGAAGGTAAACACCTTGTCACCACCAGCAGGTGTTCAGATGCTTGTGGAAAATCAGGGATTAATGTAATCACCCAAATCTTTTTAGTTTTTATACATAAAGTACAGACAGGATTCACCTAAGTGGCATTTCCATGAAGATATTATAGTAAGCCCATGTAATCCTTCATGAATTTTACCTACAGTTACAATTTGCTGTGGACATTTTGTTGCATACGGGTGGTTGGACATGCAACAGACCTTGGAAAAACAAACTCTCTATTTAAATGACTGGCTATATTTTCCAATTCAATGACCATGGAAGGTACGGTCAACTGCAAAAAATCTAAATGGACTTTACACTGAAGAGACACTAACTCACCCATAAACCACTCTGTCATCTGGTGCTTTACATAATCCTTTTTAAGCTCCTGTTTTTCATCTTAAATCATTAAAGGGTTTTGATTAAATATTTTATCTTAATACAAATATCTTCAGGAAAAGGATTTCTTTAATTTAGAAACAAGAAAGAATGATAAAATAAGGTTATAAGAAATTTATGGATTTTGTCAGATTGATACTCTATAATATTCTGATACTTTCTTTGGGATGCTAATACATTTATGTTTGTATTTAGCTATTTCCTAGTGTCATCAGATCTCCCAAGTTGAACTGTGAGGTAATTAGTGCTGCTAGGGAAAGTTGTTTGTTTCTGTTTATGTTCCAAAGGTTGTATGTGTAGCCTTGCAGTAATTGTTTTTATCTGTTAGTGCTATAGTTAAAACTTTGACTGTAAAAGTTTGTAAGGCAGGGTTAGTTTATTTCTATAGCATATTTTTGAAAAGAGAGAATTTGATATACTGAACATGAACAGAACATAAGAAAATAAAAAAAGTACAATGCAGTAGTAAGAGTAGAGGTGGGTAATATTTAATCTGATGATATTCTAATGATGTTTTAATGTACAGCTAAAATGGAACAATCAAACACAACTTAAAAACAGACGATTTCAGACCTGATCATTGGTTTCTAGCTGCAATAAATTAAGTTTTGTGCTAACATTTCATCACTTTGGTTAAAAACATTTTTTACATTAGTTTTGTTGTTTTTTAACACACTTTTGGAACACATCCGTGCAATGGTTAATATTATGCAATTCCTCAAGGCTTCAATGGTTTCTTGGGTCCTTTTGATCAAAAAAGAAAAATATTGAGCATTACATTGCTTGTGCAGGCAAAAATAAAAACAAAAAACTGCTACTTGCAATAAAATAATGTAGAAGTTTGAAGCTATGGATAATAAGGTAATTAAAAAAGAAAAAATGTAATAATCATCCATCCATCTGTCCGTTTTCCGTCACGCTTATCTCAAGTGGGGTCACAAGTGGTGGTGGTGCCTATCTTCAACTGTCAACAGACAAGACGGCTGCGCAACAGGCAATCAGAAATAGAATAATTACCCATATAATTTGCACTTAAGACATTTCTCAGAGTTTTACCAGTAGCAACATAAAAAAACAAGAATGATAAAAACTGAAGAGACATTTTAAACTGGAGAGACTCACACAGAGAAATGCTGCAATTAGAAACTTGGTTTTTCATTCTAATCCATTTATACCGGTAACACAGTCTGATAGGTCAACCTTTTTTTTTACTGAGGAAAGCCATCTGATTGCCTGGACTCATAGGCTGAATCCCAAACCAGACCCTAAACACCAAACCGTCGTTTGCATGTTCTGCAGAGGGTCTGCCATATTAAGGACCGTTCCAAACCCCTTAATGGGTAGGCTGAGAGGACTATTCAGCCCATAAATAGCGAGTCTGCATCAGCAGGCTCACTAGAAATTGGCAGCGGGTGTGGCAACGACCTAATGGTGTTTTTCTTCGCCCTTTTTTTGACCGTATAAATTTGTTTTGAGAAAGGGGCAAATCTTGGATTTTATGTACGGTAGGTGAAAGTTTGCTTGCTTGCGAGAGAGAAGTGAAGGGGATCTTAATAGATGATTGGCCACGGAGGAGTTGAGATCCCAACACTAATTGGCTGAAACTGAAGGAGGGACATTGCAGGTGGTTCAGGTGAAGCTGATAAGAGTCTTCCAGATTAAATTTACCCTTAAGCATCATTTAGTACATTTGAAACTTGGATGCAATATTGTCAGTTGTCATGGTAGTAAACAGGATTTTTAGTTGCAATGACGGAGAGAATGTGAGCGAAACAACATATTTGGGCTGTCAGAAATCAGAGTTGTATAGACATAGTCTGTCCAGCAATGCTATTTTTGAGGAAAAACTCCCTGTGACAATGCATTTCCTGAATCTGCATAGGCCATTCCAGAGCACCTACATACTTAGTAGAACCTCTGAGAGTAGGTCTTCCAGATTGAATTTCTGCTTAAGCTTCATTACTCTGGGAAGCTGATTTACAAAGAAATTAAGCTCTGAGACGCTGTATAATTCTCAGTTCACCTTACAAGCCATGCTTGACCAAAAATATTGCATACAAGACAGTCCCAGAATAATTAAATTGAACAAAACTGAGCTTAATTCAGAGCCTATGACTGAACATTTACAGGGACAAAAAAAATATTGCATATTTAGTATGATTATAAAGTTCCCTGTTGTGCACAAGATAAGGATGTGCACTTTGAGATGTACATAGAGTAATGTAACTTTAAAGACTCCAGCATACAAATGTTGTTGTTTAGTAGCTGTATTATTGGTCTATAAACATGCCAACAACTTTAAGAGAAGATCTACTTTATGACATTACATGTATATGCCTATTCTGGCTCTTGAGGGCTGGATAAACTGTTGTGACAGACTAGATTTGTCATGTGTTAAATACTTTATCCAGGTTTTATAAACAAAAATCTTTTGTAGATCAGGCCCCCTGCAGTTTCACTATAGTCACTGAGAATTGACAGTGATGATATAAACACTGACATTTTTCCATGGCGCACCCACAGTATAATAATTGAACTTTAACATCCCCACTTCCTTTTTAAGTCGATATAGAGATAAGGAGTAAGGCAACATGAAAGCCATTATGTTTATGAGCTTGTTTAATGAGGTTAAAGTCGTGTGATATATAATGAACCGATTATATTATATGGACACACATTGCAGATTTGCTGATTAAATACACAGAGGCAGTTCACTACTTCAAATCAGTACAGTTCTGTGTACTTTTTTTTTAGATATCTTGGCATAGAAAAAACGCTTTTCTCACTCTGTTCTCTAGTTGGTTTTTAATGAACCTTTATGTGTAGATAGTCTAACCATAAATGCCCAAATACTCCTGAAATCTTCCGGCATCACTGTTCGGTAAGCCTAGGGCCATTCTCCCCACTTTACAAGAACAATCAATGGGAGCTACTAGACACCCCTCCAATCAACCACAATTATTTAAGATTTAGAGAGGACCTCGCCATTGAAATTGACGGGAGCTATAGTTAAACTGTCAATGCCCACCTGCATGGCAGTTGGATTTTGTAATCATTAAAAGTGAAAAAAATCTGAGTTATTTCACCTTTCTTATTAATGGTCCATAATTTCGCTGTTGGATTGCAAACTTGAAGAGGGAGGATTTGCCATCAAACTTCTGGCCAGAGAAAAAAACGTAGCCAACATTCAAGAAGAATGTTTTAAGATGACTTGGATAGTAGCGCATTGTGACAAATTTCAGATACAGCATTGGAACTTGCTCAACAGCCGATACCGCACTGTGACATCACAAACCGGTAGGTGGCAGTAGCGTTTTTTTGATGAACACGGATGTCTCCAGTAAAGAACATTCAAAACGAAAATTACTCTTAATTAAAAACACTTATCATTTATTGAACAGTATGTAATAATTTTATATTAAAAGTACTTTCACAAGTTTAAATTCTGAATATGACCAGACATTTCCCTCAAACAAGTTCTGATTAATTGTTTTCTAAGCTAAGGACCTGTTAAAGTTTATGCTTTAACTTTGGGCAGATGTATTTGTAAAACCGCTCAACTCTCATCTCTGAATCTAATGGCATGTACCTTAAGAGAACCCCTGATATCTCATTATTGGAAGCATGGTAAACATCAAAACACAAATATATAGTCATAAAAAAATTTACCGGTAATATTATTTTTTAACTCACTGAATTCACAGTTTCAACCCTTGATTTCTCTTAATTGTATTTTTTCTGCTTTTAATAATTACTATAGTTATTATTATCATTATAAAAAATGTAGAGCAGAGATTTGGGCTTTGTTAAAGTATATTAATAAAAATGCTGCTTATATACATCAGCACTCCATTTACAGTTTGCTCTGGTGTGACCCCACAGAATCAACAAGGAATTCTGTATGGTGGTTGAAAAGTTTTCAGAAAAAAACTAAGTGAAAATCTTGTTGCCTTCTAATTTAAACTTGTTTTTTTTGTTGCAATAAATTATTATAGGCATGTTGATGAAACAGATTAAAATTATATTGCAATAAAACTCTCTTTGCATGTAATATACATGGCAGTGGCTGTTGTTTTAAATGTGCATTGTGAGGTTCTGGGGAAATCATGAAGAAACATATTTGCTGTCTCTTTGCCAAGCGTTGATTAGATAAGCAATGGTTTATCAGAAGTCATATTGTCATTGGAATGTTTTTTATATTATAGGATTTCTGATATCTCACAGCAACTTTCACTTGTCTGACCTATAGCGTGCGGAAAAGGACATCATTTAAATTTTACATGACCTAAATTATATATCATTGTAGAAATAATCCAGTGTTCCGTTTATCATCCAACATCTGTACTGTTCCAATACTCTGCTGCTGAGTTCCGTTCACAGAGGAACACCAGTCGATAGACTAATCGTAATGTGCCAATCCGCCCTTCTACATCAGCTGGCATGACTGTCAACACCAATAAGACTACTATCAACTTTGGATTTCTACACATTCTCTCACTGTCAGGTAAGGAGTGTCTTGTGCAGGATAACCTCACCGACCAGAAGAACATCTTATGTTTAACTGAAACATGGCAATGACATGGCACTAGATGTTGTCTAAGTCTAAGTCAACGGCCAAATTACTTTTCCACATTGAACGCATTGAACGATGCCACTTCTTCAGGGTCTTTTACATCACACAACCTCATAGTGGTCGATAAGGAGGTCTCACAATCATCTTTTGCACTAGTGGAAGATAGCCGTATGAGAATCCCTGCCTGCCATTCATTCGATGCTACTGTATGTCAGATCTGTGGACCAATCCCCACTCTTATTGTGACACTATGTACCTATCTTGTGTTTTATGTTTGCAATATCAGGTGACCATTATCATGTCAAATTTATGTCAAAACCTCAGAGGGGGAAAAAAACATACTCGCTAGTATATTAAAGTACTTTCCTGCATGAGTTTACAAACCATTGCGCAAAAAATCCCGCATGCATGAGGACTGCAGCCTCAAAGGAAGAAAATAGCTCAGTGGGTGTGTCTTTTACTCGCATGCTCGGGATCTTACAAATGCTTTTCTACTTGTGCACGAGTTTCTGTATTGTGCCCTCGCTCCTGGATGACTGTGCATTTGAAGGTGACTCTGCACTCAGGCTGATTTTCAAAATGTTTTTTGATAAGTGGGAGAGGAGACATAACTTTTCTGTTGGCCTCCTCCTGATTGGCCTGTGCAGGCACTATCACACAGGAATTATAGCACTACTTACAAAAGAATATCAGTGCTTTTCCATCAGGAAATGCTGGGAATTTTGCTTAACTTGCGAATTGCAAATATTGCAGAGATCTCCACCATTGTCCCACCTCCAGCCATCATCTTCACTTAAAAGCTTTCAAGTTTTCCTGACAGTGCTTCATGTGTGAATATGCTTGCACAGGCCAATCAGGAGGAGACTCACAGAACAGCTATGACTCTGCCCTACATGTCAAAATCCATTTTGCTTTGCGTGGGGAGGAAATTATTCTGAACGCAGACTGAGAGGCACCTTCAAGAGCAAAGCTGTCCGTGAGCGAGAACAACAGACAGAAACTCATGCCTGAGTAGAACAGCACTGCACACAATATGACCGAGGTTTAAAAATATTTTTTGTATATTTGTAGTCAAAATCTTTAGAAGTATCTTAGAAACTTTAAAAATTATGCAGAATTCCTGCAATTATAACTAATAAAAAATATTTTAAGACATACATGCACCTACAAGTACTATTCTTAGACTTAAGCCCAAATTGATTTTTTGCAGACTCTTTTTTAAATTAAATTAATAATTAAAATCTTAGATTATGGGCTACCGCACGGGATAAAATAATCTATCAAGAAAACTGGTAAAAACCAATACACATTTTTACATTTTTCTTTAATAAAGTCTCATTTTATAAACTAAGTTACCCTTTATATGTGATAATTATGATACTAATGAAATATCAAATTCATATAACTTGAAATTGATAATATTTTAATTACTTAGATGCAATGAAGCATTATCAACCACTACATTTATTGGCCCCCATTTTATGATAGTTTCTCCTTCCTGACATGAAAAACCATAGACTTCCAAATTAAGGAATAGAACCAAGGTTATTACTAAAGACAGATAAGCATTTTCAGATAACATGTTAAATAGGTTTATTAACCGCTGCCGCCAGTAGCCAGACATCACACTGTCCAATAGAAAGACTGAATATGCTTTATTTTTACATAAAGGTTAGCTAAGGTTCTCAACAAAAAAATAGTTAAGATACACAAATACAACTGTTGTACCAGCCTTTTCAATATAATTCAGAGAGAATAGAATGAATTAGTACTTAAAATTCAGCATTTTCAATGGAATGTTCAAAAGTTTAAATATTGTAGATATTATGAATCTAAAGGTTATTCACATTATGATATATGTTAAAATTCCTCAGTACTTAAAAATAACTGTGACCATTTTACAAGATATAGAGTTAGTAACCTTGAAAAATTACAATTTAGTACACTTTTCTGCCTTGTCTTCTTGATTAAAGGGTCCATTCTCAGGAGTTTCATTGGAGGATTTTCTGAAAATATAAACAAAATAACTTAGTGATATGTTAGTAATACACACAGTGTGTTAAGTGAAACAAAATAAGTGCTGGCAATAGGTGACAGAAACATGGGTAGTATTGTACACAGATATACTGTATCTATCCAGCAATAGATTAAGAGTTTTACTGTAAATAAATTAATAATGGAAGATATAAAATAAAAGATTTTTAAAAACAGAAAAGATCATCACTCACAAAAATTGTAAGAAGCGTATTCTGGTTCTTTTCAGTATTAGGCCTAGCCTCATTAAACCCATGCCACTTTAAGCATATCACATGTGTCATGTACTGTGAGTAGGGGGGCACTCAAAAAATTGGGCTCATCAAATAATGATTAATGTTGTAGCTAATCGTAATAATTGCATATTTAAAATATATTTATGATCCTGATAAAGAATATTATTAGAATAAAGTGATGCAAAAATATTTGCTCAAGAATACAAAAGACTTTTTGACTGTCTCCCCCCTCTGTTAGCAGAGTAAGTGGGGAAAAAAGCTGCACTACAGGTGAGACTTTAACAAAGTCATGGTTTATAAAATTTAAAATGGAGACCTTAAAAAAAACCTTGCAAATAGGGTTGTAAAAGTTAAGTTGAAAATACATATTAATGCAACTTCTTTTTAATGGCATTAATTTTTTGACACATTTTGAACATCATCTGCGCTGTAGCTTGAACATTAGGTTGTTTTCTGTTGCAGCTGCTTCTACAGTTTCTTAAAAACTCGGGAGACAGCTCCACCTCCTGTCCACCTCTCCTGTGCAGGCTCAGAGAGAGGAAGAAAGAAAGAATGTTTCAAAGCATGTTTTCACATGGGGGTTTCCACTGCTGATGCAGAAGCTTAAATAAATTAAAAACACAAAAAAAGTGATAAATGCAAAAGCATGACAAATGGTCCTAGGTGCAGCAATCAAACAGAATGGCTGGAGAGAAGAAGCAATATTAGATGCTGGTCAGTGTATGATCACATAATGGATTGCACTGTGTACCGTAGTTAGAAGAGCATTCTAACTGGTAAGAAGAGCATTATTCTGATGGTGCCTTCACACCAAATGCTTTTCTAGAGTTAAAGTTTGAGGCTTGAGGACTCCAGGAGCTGGATCGTGGTGACTTACTGCTGTGTCTCCATCTTGACCCAAAACTATCTTGCTTCAGGAATAGAACAACAGAGGTAAGGTAAGACCGCATGATGAAGCTCAGATAAAAACAAGACATCAGAGCAAGAGGGCCGGTAGAGAGTATACCACAGAAGGGCAGTGGCTGTCTGGGCCTGGACTATAAGGGAGGAGAGTGAGAGATCGGAAGAGATGACAGCGATAGATCAGGACAAGAATTCGGGACAAGAGTGCACCAGAGCCGACGCAAAGGCAGTAGCCAGTGTCATGCCCTGTTCGCTATGCAAGGGAGCTGGCGGCGGGAGATCAGATGAGAACAGCGGTAAAAACCACCAATTAATGTTTTAAAGCATCCCTTACTTTATCATATGTCAATACTACTTTTCTATCTTACATTTTTATAGGAAAAAACGTAGTCTCCGCTGCTCTCCTTCACCCTACGTCACAGCCACATCTAGTCAATGACTGGTTGTCACAACGCGTCAAGACACAAAAGTTAAAATTATCCAACTCCAGCAACTTTTCCTTTTTTCCTCCATAGCAGGTGTTGTGTAACTGTTGGGGCATTGCTGTAATCACAAAATCCTGCCTGCCGCTTCACTACTAAATTGTTACTGTGTTGCTGTAAATGCATTTGGTGTGAAAGCACCCTTAGAGGACTTTTTAGCTCTGTTTTACACTCTCCAATGTTAAAATATGTTTATTGCGCTTTTTCCCCTTATTTCAAGGCTTCTTAAAATGTGTTTTTTTGTTTTTATTTTTTTCTCCTTGTATATGGGTAGAAGCCCTGGAACGACCTGCACAATGCAAAAAAGCCCTAGTATGCAGAGTGCTCTTACTACCTACTGTTGTGCAATTAAAGTGCTGAATATACAGAAACTGGTAAGAAAAAAAACTGTACAAACTCACTTGTTTTCAGTAAGGTCCTGAAGTTCAACATTGCAGGTTTCAGGCAGCAGCAAACAGAGACAACCAGTCATGATGGGGATAATGCCATATATCAACATGGGGATGGTATAGTGGTAAACATCCAAGAGACGGATCAGGGGAGCAAGGATTCCTGCCACTCGAGCACACATGGAGTTCAGACCTACACCATTCTGCCTAGCAGGACAGAAGATCAACTCATCAGCCATCTTGCTACATCATTTAAGTTAATCTTCAACTCTGTTTTTTTCAAACGTATTACTAATCTTACCTTCAAGTCATTACTGTCTTACCTCAGAATAGTGGGGTATAGTTCTGCTGTATAAACGTAAACTGTGGCAAAACTGGCAGTGGCAGCAAATTTACCAAGTACGGCTATGACTGTGACCACGATAGGAAGACCTGGTGGACAAACAAATTGCATTTCTGTAACAATGTGCCTGGATTTTTAGCAAACTAAAAGAACAACCCTTCAGTGATCTATTAAGGGCAGCTCATTAAAATGACTAAAAAGGAGGTTAACTAAAACATTTTGATGTCAAAGTTATTTTACCTTTTGGTATAACAAGTATGCTAAGGCAGGCAGCACCTCCAAATATTAGCACCCCCGCTTGGCAAAGTTTTCTTCCAAAATGCTGCAGGAGGGGCAAAATGCCCAGACGAGCAGGAAACTCCACTATTCCAAAGATGAACTGTGTGAGGTAGATATCTAGACCAAAGTTGCCGACATTGAGGCTGAGTCCATAGTACATCAGACTTGTTGCAAACCTGTTGTGACATATATATTAAGTGATCACAACGATTATTCCAAAAAAAAGGAATTCAACACTCACCAGGCGCAGCTCATTATCAGAGCTCGTTTTCTTAGGTATTGCAATCTAAAGATGTCAAGCATGGTTCCCTTTTTGACCGGTCCTTCAGCCTCCAGCTAAAACATAATCGTTAGTTGTAAACGTAAGTTTGGATTTGGTAAAGGTCAGTGAATTTTTGGTGTGACTCACTTTCTCTAGCAGCTCCTCTGGTGCATTTCTTTTGTTCACTTTAGCTGCTCTCCGTATTGCCTTTATGGCCTCCTCCTTCCTGCCCTGTGTGATGAGCCAGCGAGCTGACTCTGGAAGAATCCTAGTTGGCAAATAAGCCTTAGATCAAAAACTGTGCTGCTTTTGTTATATCATTATTACATTTTGTGGGTTGAATTTGTTAAATATTTGTTATAAATAGGCATGGGCCAGTTCCCTGCAAGCCATATTAATTGAAGTTGGATAGCACTTCGTTAACCCACCTCCTCTCAATTGCAATGTGACTATGAATTCAGTTAAGCTATTGCCAGTTTGTTGATAGAGGTTATAAAAATGTACATATGGTTTTATTGAGCATCAAGTAATTAAATGTTTGACCTTTTTTTCCTGTTGATGAGTAGCTAATTTCCTGTAAACAATTTGTTCATCTTATACAAGTTTGTTTCAAATCTTGTTAATACGGTGACTCCAGTAAATCTGTAAGAATCTCATAAATGGCCCATGTTTATTTTAAAAGAGGTCATATGAATGCTGACCAATAGAAGATTCCCAGTACGACGAAAAGAGGGCTAAAGAGCACCATCTGCAGGATCCTCCAGTTGCGGATAAAAAAAGCAACTCCAGATAGTATCATCAGTCCAAGAGGATAAAAGGCATGGCAGATGATGGTACAGAGAGCAAACTTTGATGAATCACTCCATTCTCCACCTTTAAAGAAATATGACAAATATGAATTTCTTCAATTCTGACATTTCTTTATGGTTTGGTCTAACTAGTAGTATCATAAAATAAGTATAACAAAGATGCTATTAAAATCAGTTGGGAAAACCTACCAATGACAAAAGCATTTGCAACGATTCCAGATGTCGAGATACCACAAACAAATTTGAGAGCAATATAAACATAGATATTAGGTGAGAAACTGATCCCTAATCCAAACACAAATAATATTAGGAGTGACAGCAGGACTACAAAGCGTCGTCCGAACCTAAAGACAGGCAAATAATAAAAAAAAAAGTTACATTTGTCACTAAAAGTAAAATTTTTCATGTTAACTATGTTCTACTTTATGCTTATATTCAGGTGATCCTCACCTGTCAGCCATCTGTCCCAGAACAAAGGCTCCAACCAGCAGGCCGGCCATGTAGATAGACTGAGATGCCTCAATGAAACTGCTCCTTTCACACACCAGGTTAAACTGACAGCAAAGGTCAAATAGAGGATTAAATTAAACTTTTCTTGACTGTTAAATTTAGCTATTTTGATTATATGGTATCTAGTTAAGCTATGTGTAATAAACAGGAATATACAAAACTTGCAAATTTTTTTTTCTTTTTCACCCACATTGTTTACATTCTATCACTGCTGCAATTTCGCTGCTAAGCTGCTGCTCATTCATTGTCTGAAAGCAGTACAAAACAAAATGTCGTTTTGCACACACTCTGTGTATACGGAGTTACAAAAAAAGTTGTCTAAATCTAAAAAAAACTTGCAACACTTTGCAAAGATTATCATAAGTAATACAAAAGGGTGAAGAAAATCACACTTTTTAGCCTACATGTTAAAAGCTTTTTGTGAAAGAAAAGAACACAACATCTTCCATTAAAGACAAAAAAAAATTGACTATATTCATAGACTATGAATATAATCATGCAGTGGAATTTTGTTTACTATAAGTTATGGACAAAACAAGTGCTCAGAGTTAACTGCTAGCTAATCAAAAAGAATAATTAGTAAACATATTTGATGCTGTTTATTTGAGAGTGAGGCTAATGCTCTCCTTTCAGTAGGACTGGAATCATATTCAGCAATCCTATTTCTACCTTATCCTATGGTCATGAAATTTAGATAATGATCGAAAGAACAAAATGCTGGACAAGTGGCTGTAATGAGTTTACTCTTCAGGAGGGCAGGCAGGGACAGGGTGAGGAGCTCACTATTTGGGAGAGGCATGGAGTAAAGGTGCTGCTGCTCCTTCACCTTGAGAAGAATCAGCTAAAGGTGTCTCGGGCATCTGTTCTGGATACCTGCATCTGGAGGTACAGTATTTCATGCCCATCCAAATGAGAGGAAGGCCCCAGTACATGCTGGGGGGACTATGCATTTCGATTGGCCTGAAAATGTCTCAGGTTTTTTCCCGAGGAGCTAAAGGAAGTGTCTGAGGAAAGGGTAGTCTACTGTATGTGTCCCCACCGAGGCCACTATCCCCATATGAATAAGCAGAAAACGACATGTACAAACTTTTTACAATATACTTTACCTTTCAACTCACAGTTGTGACTATTTGTGTTGATTGAATACATGACATTCTAATTAAATGCATTGATTTATTGTTTTTTTCATTACAGAAGGTCTATAAAAGTTAGAGGGTTGGTTGTAAATAATCTTGTGTTCATCACTACTTACAACCGTTTTGAACTGTTACCCAATTTCTCAGCCTTACCAAATACAAACAGTTTTGTCACCTTATAATGCTTCTTACACCTTCTTCCTCATATTGTTAGAGTCAACTTGATGTCCTTAGGTGAAGCAAATTAAAGCCCAAATTGATATGATGGACAAACTGCCCAATCTCTAAACCTTGAGCCTCCTATTAGGATATGTTTAGCTGGAGGTTTCTTCCACATAAAAGAGGGTTTTCCTCTCTACTGTTGCTACATGCATGCTTGGTGTGAGGGGTTGCTTAAGGGTCAATGAGTCGTTGCAATCAGTTGGTTTTTCTTAGATAGAAAACTTGTAACCAATATGACTATAAGATCTGGTTGAATAGTCTCTGTAAAGTGCCTTGAGATAACATGTATTTTGAATTGGCGCTATATAAATAAACTGAATTGAATTTTGTTCACTTGTTTTCCCCCTATGCTGTTACTTTTGTTTTAATTCTCTTGTATTTTCAATACAGTAAAATATAAAATCAGTTCTCCACAATTGTTCTTTTAACATCCTACTATATATCTAAAAAGTTCCTGTCTTAAATGAACATGGGTTCTTTTATTCTTTAAACATTGGTTCTGTGTGTTCTATTTTATGGCCAACATAGAGTGTAAATGTTATAACTCTTTCTGTCTAATCACATGGCTTTCGGCTGAATTTTCTGTAGTCAGCACTTATTGTTGTCAGTCAATCATTTAGAGGGAAGTATCTGGCATAGTGCTGACTAGTTAAAACGATTTTTCTATGGTACACCACTCAGAATATTCTTACCTCTGTCACAATGCTGGAGGCATCTTTGGATATCTCAAAATCAAATCCATCTGTGCATCCTGATGTGTTGTTAAGTCCGTACCTCTCAATGGTTTCTAGGTCCAAACTTACAGGCGTGAACATTTTACATGTGTCAAACGTTCCTTCGCTGTTAACTGGTATGGTGAGATTTCTTTGTTTTTCATCAGTCAGGTTGGGTCCCTGCTCCAAAATCCAGTCAGTGTTACACTGGTGCGGAAAGTTCATACCTGTGAACACTTGGCCGATTACATCGAACGCCACAAATATGCTGGGGATGCATAATGCAGCCACCAAACGTTTCTGAAACAAGCCAAATTCCCCGATCTCCTTAAGGATATCCTTAAAGTTGCTCATAACGGTCCCCTAAAGTCGTCAGCAAGTAACAAGGACAAGAGACAGCTTTGGTTTTAAAGCTACTCTCTCAGAATGACTCTCATCCCTTGAGTTAATGTTTAAACAGACAATCTCTGTGCGTTTATGACTGAAATTGCTACCAGCCTTTCAGGGTTTTCATATCAACAAGTGTACAGCTCAAGTTTAGCACACTATAGATAAAAGTAATGGTACAAATTTTAAATAAACAGAAATGTAATTACTAATCATAAGAATAGACAAATCTGTATATCTTAGAATCAAGGGTGTCTTAAATTGTTCCTCTTTCAGATTATATACATATGTATGAGTAGATTATAACATGCTGTCATGGTTTATTCTATAAAGGCCTCAACATACTGTATTTAGGGCAAAAAAAAAAATTTTTATTCCCATTTACATGAAAAACACAATTCTTCTTGCAACTTTTTTCTTAAATATTAGGGCCATATTATTTTCTGTGTGCCTATGTGATTGCCAATCTGTCAGAAATTAGAAATGGGCTTGCTACAACACTAAAGGATGTGGCCCAATGAAGTTGGCTTCCTAGGAAGCCTACTTTTTGAGTGCAAACCTCCTTTCTGGAAAGATGTTTGACCTTTTTTTTTGTGCAAGTGATAGAACAAATGTATTGTTTCTACAGGCTCTAATTCTTCAATGCAGAGTCCATCAACAGGTTGTAGATTACAATATGTATACATCTGTTAAATCTACATTTTTTGGTTTTTGAAAGCTCACTCAATGTTTTTTTCCCCACACTTACTTTGCTTAATGGCTTTACCTGAGAAATTGTCACTGATCACCAATGAAAGACAATACTATATATTATAGAATATATAAGTATAAGTAAATTAAACTAGACTTTATGTTTGTGAAAGCTAAGAATTAAATTTTTTTTAATTTTGTTTTTAACCAACAGAGAAATGCTTTCAGAAACTAGTGTTTGCACAGTAACCTGTTCACTTACTTGTTAAAATAAATAGTGATATTAATGTGTCGGTAGGAAAGATAATTTTATATCAGAATCATGATGAAAGTGGGATTAGGTGGTTTTGAATGTGTTATGGGTATAGGAGTAAGGCAGCATGCCCTGAGTGTCTCCTAGACTGCTCAAGAATGCCTACGGTGGTACTTCTGCACAGTGTAACAGTGGGTAGCACTGCTGCCTTGCAGCAGAAAGGTTCCGGTTCGATTCCCAGACTGGGGTTTTTCTGCATGGAGTTTGCATGTTCTACAGGTACCCTGGCTTCCACCCACAGTTCAAAAACATGACTCTTAGGTTAATTTCCTTCTCTAAATTCTGGCTCATGGGTGTACACAGCGGGAGATAGGTACCAGCACCCCTCATGAACCCACTCGGGATAAAGCCTGTCAGAAAATGGATGGATGGTTCTTTTGCACAATCATCTCTCTTATAAACATTTTTTATTCAAAGTTTAAAATGTTAAAATGAACCCCAGACTCATTATGAAACAGTAAAATAACCTTTCACCTTAGCACAGACAGGCAGCTACCAAACAAATTCTAACTTGAGTATCTAACAGTTAGCCATGTTTTTGTTACTTGCATCTCATTAAAATATGGCTGTTATGTATGTATATATTAGGAACTAAAGGTTATGGTACAGTATTTCTTTCCTTTTACAGAGGAATTCAAGACTTTCATCTCTATAGGAAACTGAACGGTTGGACAGGGTGACATCTGGTAAGAACAAGTTGTAAAAAAAACAGCTGAGTCATTGTTTTAAGATAGATAGAACAATTAACCTGAAAGCGCTGGGAGCAAAGTAACATACCCAGTTTTAAATTGTGACAGCACTGCATAAATACAACTTAAATACACTCAGCCGTTCATGAAAGTCTCTGAACCGAAACCATAAGGAGTCAGGTTTTATTTGGTCGATTTTTGCTCTTTGCACAAATGTGATAATGATTTACTCCAATGAAAAAAAACAATCAAATGACGAAAAATATCTTTACTTTTCAGTGAATTTCTCAGAAATTTACAGAAAGAAAACATACATAAAAAAACATACATAAAAGTAAAATCATAATTAAGAAATGTTCATACATTTGCCTGAGAATTTTTGGTTACCATTTGATAAGAAAACAGAGTAAAAATTGGTTTCTCTTATGTACGTCAAGTATTTCTAAGTTGCCTTAAACAAAGAAAAGCAAAATAAAGCTGAATTTAATAGTCACAGGTAAAGAGACAGTAAAATGTGTGTGAATACAGTGCAACACATTAAGAAATATTTGTGGAGTTTATGATATAGAGTCTAACATTCATTAGCGTGTCATTTTAAGATTGTAGAGTTATTTTTTAGAGTTGCACATTGTTGAACAAGCTGCCTCGAACACATCTTCATTAGGATTATCTGTGTTGTCAGTGTCACTTATCAGCTGATGATACAAAGACAGCATGGGTTCAAAGATGATTCCTGTGATTAATGTTGAAAATTAATTTATACAAATAATGATCACAAATTTTGCCAAATGCTTTTACTCACTTTCATATTGCACATTTATGCCTCAGATTCATCATGCCCTCCACTTGGTGTATTCATGACCAACCATCTGTTCTTGTGCTGAGTGTGTCCAAAGCCCTCGTCATAATTTCCCTTTTCTTTGAACAGTTGTTGGTAGTGAAATATGCAGTAGAATTCACCGTTCAAAGGTGTGTAATTTTGCATGCTAAAAAGAAGTAAATGTTAATAGCAGAGATAATCATCCTTGCTAGATAGTTATAAGAACCTTCTTCTGGAAACAAAGAACATTAATAAAGATATTGTTCCTACATTTGCAAAGCAGCATTATAAAAAATGGTGAAGATCATTTTCATTAGACTAACACTGGCACAGGAACTCAATTAAGTAGTTCATTGAAAAAATAAGTTCAGGAAATATGAAATCTAAATCAGTAACTGGCTCTGAGTACATAGTTTAGATTTTTAATATCTGCATCCATCCATCCATCCATCCATCCATCCA